AAACCATAATTCAATACATTTTTTTTTTATATTTTTATGTATTTATAATTTTTAAAAATATTTTTTCATAATTTTTTTATTTTTTAGATACATCTAAGTAAGGTACATCTAAAAAAAATATTTAAAATTTTAAAAATATTCACTAAAAAAAAGTCTTCAAAAAGCAGAGTATTTGCGACGGCATCATATGCCGTCTCAAAAAAGCAGAGTATTTGCGACGGCACCATTTGCTGTCTCAAAAAAGCAGAGCATTTGCGACGGCACTATTTGCCGTCTCAAAAAATGGGAGTATTTGCGATGGTATTTTCTGCCGTCGCAAATACTCTCATTTTTTGAGACGGCAAATAGTGCCGTCGCAAATGCTCTGCTTTTTTGAGACGGCAAATGGTGCCGTCGCAAATACTCTATTTTTTTGAGACGGCATTTTCTGCCGTCACAAAAAGTGACTTTTTGAGACGGCAAGTGTGTCGTCACAAATAGTTCCGTCTCATATACCCAGTTTTCTTGTAGCGACATGTTCTCGAGACATGAAAAAGTTTAACATTTTAATTATTAAAATTTATAAACTTTATCCTTGATATGTATTTTTTTATTTATAAACCTACACTGATATGTTGTTTCTCCTAATTTATTCGCCAAAAAATCATAATTTGATGATTTGATATGACCTAGAAGTAGATGCCTTTGTTCCATGGCCTTGTCAATTTGAACTCCCCCCTCCCCCCCCTCCCCCCCCCATTTACTCCTCTGCTAAGGTACTACATTAAAGGTTAGAGAAGCTATATACTTGTGCCTGAGCATCCCTTGGCAATTTCATATCAAGTGAAGACCTCATACTTGTCCAACTTACTACAATCTTAGGTTTTTTTGTTTGGTGTTACTCAAACGTACCACTATACAATTGAATTTTGAGAGAGCAACCTTTATGTTTATAAATTTACAGACAAATTACACTTTTCACCTTCGAGTTTTTACATAAATTGTACTTCGGTTCTTCATCTTCTACTTGCAATAAATAAATCAAATGTCAACCTATGTTTCAATATGATCCTTCTGGCACAACACCGTTTTGAAATTTGAGTAAAAATTGAAATATGATGGACCAAAGTGGATTTGAGTAAAAGTTAGATGGTGAAAAATGTAATTTTTCATACAAATAATTTCTTCTAATGCCTCTAAAATGCTCACCCGATTCTTATGTGAGCACTTTTTGTTCAAAATTTTAATGGTAAGTGATAAGATGATCAGATTAAAACACATGTTAAACTTTGAGAAATTAATTGTTGTAATTAAGATATTAGAGGCTAGAATGAAATTCAAGTAAAAATTTGAGGGTGAAAAGTGTAATTTACATTGTATTGATTGAAGAAAACTCATGTCATTTTGTACACATGAAAAATGAAAAATTTGACCAAACATTGCTCTCTGTATGCAGGGGTTGATGGTATATAGGGATTGAAATGAAATGAAATGGAAGAAGAAAGAAGAAGAAGGTGGTGATGAGTAGGCTGAGAAGACTAGACAAAGCCCTACGAAGAAGAGAAAATAGGAGAATACCAGTCAAAGTTTTGTTCACATGGAGTTTGTACCGATTCAAGTAGAGAGCTTTAATAATTCAAGACCTATATACCATGGTATAGTGTACCAGCCAAGCCTCCAAGTAGAGCTGCAGGATAAGAAATGAGATTGCTTGGACTACTGGGTATTTTGTATCTGCAATTTGCAAACAACTATATATCTAGAATTTTATTCAAAAAAATATTTAAAACAAAAATGAATCTGAACCATACATGGTCCTTCTAAATAAATTTTAGATAATTTAGCTTTACTGAATTCTATTTTAATGTTGAGCTAACAATATTTAAAAAAAAAAAAACTCGTAGAAATAAAATATATTATCTCCCTCTCTCAAGTGGTAAGTGATTTGAGCAAGATAAACTGTCTTACTTTTTTTGAGAGAGATTGGGGACAAGTTTCCGAATCTCCCTCGGGGGATTAATTGAATTCCCACTACTGCTAGTAGGCCATGCAGTAGTAATGAACTTTAGGACATCTCCAGTGGAAGTGTTAATACTTTACTAGTATCAATTGTTAGATGCTAATACACTCTTAATTGTGGCGAGGTGACTAATACCAAGAAAAGAGAGAGGGGCTAAGAAGGTTGGTTGCGTGAGCCATCGTAGCTTTTTTAAAATTTTAATTATTTTATTCTTTTTACATATATATATATATATATACACACATTTAAGCGGATTCATTTTTGTTTAACATACATTTAAACATTTCTGTCGGAATAAATTGAATTTTATCACCTTTTGTAACATACTTAAATATATAATTTTATCATTTTTATTGAAGATGTTGTCAATTTAAATCTTGCTTAATTTGTTAGCCGATGGTATTACATGCACTAATTAGTGTACTAACTAGTATTATGTCATTATTACTGACCTCACATATTATACAAATTATAAATACTTAAAATTTTTAAAATTATGTCACATCATCTGTTAGTACATTAATTAATACACTAATAAATACATATAACATTATTTTTTGTTAGCATCCTTAAGCTTTGTTTGCATTTATTGTGCATTGATTACTAGTGAATGGGAAGAAATTCATGATAATTTAAAACACATCTTTTTCTTAAAATTGAGAGAGAGAGAGAGAGAGAGAGGGTGAGAGTAATGAAACTATATTATGTGTGTTTAGTTTTAGTTTTTTGAATTAATTTTTTTAAATTTGAGTTTTTTATTTTTTGTATTTTTTATTTTTAATAAATATTTTTAAAATTTTAAGTATTTTTTTACTTTTTTAGATGTATCTTACTTAGATGTATCTAAAAAGTAAAATATTTATGAAAAAAATATTTTAAAAAATTAATAAATACATAAAAATATGAAAAATATATTGAATTTCCATAATTTTTTATATTTTTGATATTTAGTTATTTTTTTTACCGAAAATTATACTTTTTAAATATATTTATGTTAGGTGTATTTAAAAATTAAAAAAATGCTTATAATTGAGAGCTTCCCAAGTCGATGGTCTTTCGAATTAGTCGATTCAATAAGTCGAATATTGAGTTATCAAAAATTAATATTATATAGCTAAAAAATTTATTTAAAAAAATTATTGTATGATTAAAATTCATTCTAGATATAAATTTTATTATATAAAAATTACGATAATGCTACGTAGCTCAAATTTTGTGGCTCAAAAGTGGTTCAAATGGCCAAAACGACGTCGTTTTGAGTACAGAACAACATAAAAATGGCCAAAACGACATCGTTTTGGCCATTTGAGCCACTTTTGAGCCACAAAATTTGAGTTACGAGACATTTTCCTAAAAATTAAACTCGAACCACATATAATAATAATAAAAGTACAGATGTGAGAGAGCATGGTTGCATGAGAAAAAGTAGTGTGCCTAACCTGCAAGATTGGGATTCTATGCAGAGAGAAAAGCCTCCCGTGAAGTGAATCAAGATTTTCTCCTTCATCTCTCTCTTTAACTCTTTCTTTGTTAGGTTATTGGGCTAACTTTTGGATTCAATTTTAATAATGTAAACCATTCACATTTTAAGATTTGTTGAGTACATCATATCTGTAAAAAATCAAGTTGATCGGATATCAGAAACTATGTGTTCGGAAAACTGTTTATTAAATTTTTTTCAAAAATAGTTTATAGTGCGATGATTTAAACACATATTTGCTGATATCCGATTAACTTGATTTTTAATAGATATAATATACTCAACAAATTTTAAAATGTGAACGGTTCGGATTATCAAAATTAGATCCAAAAGTAAGCCCAATCACCTAATAAGGAAGGAATTAAGAAGAAAAAGGAAGGAGAGGATCTTGATTTCCCGTGAAGTATCTCTGCACTGCAATGCAATGTGTGCACATTAAAAGACTGGATCAAAATTCAATGCCCAACAAGAAGCTTCCCCCAAATTCATCAAAATATAAACTAACTAGTCCTTGATAGCTTTTATTTTTATTTCTTTTTTTTTTTTTGTTCTCATAGTCACTGTGTTATGAGTATCATGATTCCTGATTGTGTTTTATAGCAAAAGGCAGGTAGCCTTCACACTGTTTATTAGTTATTATTATTTTTTTAATAATCAAGTGTTAGTTCAGATTACTTTGCGTATATCTTGATTATTTTGGGGTATTTCAATTAAAAGAGTCAAAAAATCAAAATATCCAATTATATCATTCTTTTTATTTTTTTACATGTCTTTTTTTTAAAAAAAACTAAAAAATTAACTAAAGACCTTCTAAATACATATCCTTTCTAGAAGTCATGTGTTTAAAAACATGGTCTGAATTTTAAAATGAATTTATTTTTGTGTTTTGTTTTGTTTTTTTAAGTGAATTGGAGTGTCTAGTAACTAGAAAAGCGGTTAATTGTATCTTTAAAATTGAATTTAAAAGAATTCCTTCGCAAAAACAAAATGAGTCTAGAAATAAATTTAAAATTATTTGAATTTAGAAAATATAATTTAAGATCACATGCACTTGGTTAAAACAAATATTTATTTTTAATAATTTTAAAGTATCATATCATATTATCTATATTATACGCTGAATCATTAACATATCAAAATTTTACTAATTCACACTTGTTTTGATGGTTGATATATACGGATCACCACTTTAAAGTAATTATTATGTTTGACAATGGTTACAAAAGTTTTTTTTTTTTTTAGAAACTCTTTTTGGTGTAATGAATTTTTTTTAAAACTTTACATGTACATTTTAGTTTAGAAAGATCCAAAAAGTAATTTTTTTAAAACTCATTGAAGACACTATTTTGGATTTTTATTTTATTTTTTATATATACTAATTTAGAATCTAAAAGTGAATTTTTTTTAAAAAAAAATCCACTATAAAACAATTTTTTTTTTTTTTAAATAACAAAAATACAAACACAAAAACAAACCAAGCCTGCCCTGTTCTTGAGTCTTGACTCTTGAGTGCTTTTTCTCACCTCCCAAAAAAGCCCCCACTCTTCTTTTGATGAAGTACTATTTCGTCTTCTTCCTCCTCCAGTAGGACTGTTGTATTGTATATTACTGTAGTTTTTTTCATTGTTTTTATGGGATAGCTGTGAGCTTTGTTTGGTTGTTCCATAATGCGACCAATTCTTGAACAGGATTTTTACACCATGCTTTGCTACTACTAGTCAATGTCTTTTTCCCAATTTGAGCAATACTGTTTCACAGTTCAACTCCCTACTCTGTCACTTTCTCAACTCAGAAAGGACTCTCTTATTTGTGTCAAAATTGAAAATGATTCATGTAGGCAGATTCTTCACCAACCAAGCTATAAATACCACAGATTCCACCGAAGTCTAGCCCCCCCATATCAGTAAATCTCCCCCTCCAAAGCTCACTTCTATGGATCTCACAAGCCCTAAGTACTTTGAAGCTCCTTCCTTTTTGGCTCCCCATGGGGTAAGTAATGGCATTTGTCTTGGGTTTCTTTGTTTATGCCCTAATTTCTATGTATATCATGTGTAGTTGAGGTGAGGCTCTCTCTTAATTTGTGGTAACTTTTTGATACGTGAAACTTGCATAATTGTGGACGTAATTTTAGTCTTAAAATAAATCACATAAATTTTGTATTTTTTTATATTTGAGTGTAACTTGTCATTTTTCTTTGTGGTTTTTCTTACTTAACTCTAATTTTTTAGTTGAATCACTCAAATGTTGTACTCACGTGTAATTTATTATTTTTATGCGCTTGTGTTTTTTCGTATTTTATTGATTCTGATTAGGTGTGATGGATTCTTAACATTTATTACTGAACTTGTAATTGTTTTGTTATTTTGTGGGTGTTTTTTGATTTCAGGAGCCACCATTGGAAGGAAACCCTAGCTTCTACAAGAAAACCATGGAGAACCCATTTGTAGAGACCTTCCCTGACCCACTTTGCAAGCTCAGTCTCAAGGAGACATCTGAGTTTGTGAAGTCATTTCCAATGGCAAATCACATCACAGAGAGCAGAGGAGGAGGTTATCTTGATGTTTCAGCTCAGAGGAGGAGAGAAGGAGTGAGTTCAGTCACAAAAAGGAACATAGTAGAAGCTCCTTCCACACCTGGTAGGCCCATTTTCAGCTTCAGTGCTGGCAATTTCTCAAGAAAAAACTTTCCTTCAAAGTGGGATGATGCAGGAAAGTGGCTCAACAGTAGTAGCTCTTGCCATGACTCCCCTGCTCATCATCATCAACAACATGGCTTGAAATCATCTGAACCCTTGAAAGTTTCCAAACAATGTGAGGTCTTTGCAGAGAAATCCAGGGTTACAGAGGAAAAAGTCTCAACCATTCATGGGTCTGTAGCTTCTTTGGAACATCAGATCTCAGCCAGAGTTTTCAATGGGGTCTCAGCTTCTTCAGATGTACTTCTAAAAGGTATGATACCTTTCTTCAACCTTTGGTCCCCTTTTTTGTTTTCTGCAACTAAAAAATCAATTTTTACTGTGCCCCTTTTCTTTTTTGGTTTTCCAAAAGCCTTGTGTGACTTTTTCACTTTGTCTCTTTTTGTTAATGTTTCTTGTTTGGTTAACATACCTAGTTGAGCATTTTCACTACAAACCAATAAGGGTATTGGATTTCAATTTTTTGTTATACTTCCATTTCATGATTCTGGAAATACATTGAGAAACATTATGCATAATCTGACCAGAACCCAAATGCCATAGCTCTGTGTTCTTGAATAACCAGAATTTTTTTTCCCCTGTTGGCCTAGCTCCAAGAACACCCCTTTTATGATTCAATTTTTTGTCAAATTTTCTATTTTATGATTCTCAAAATAGATTGACAAACATTATGCATAATCTGACCAAAACCAAAATGCCATAGCTAGCTCTGTGTTCTGGAATAGCCAGAATTTTTTTTTTTTCAGTTGGACTAATCTCCAAGAACACCCGTTTGGATTTTGTTCCTGCAGATAAGTTCACAAATGAGGTAGAAGTAGAACCTATTTTCCCCAAATACAGATGCCTGAAGCCAATGCAAGAAGGGTTTTTGTTTGGAAACTTGGTTGACAATTCCATGAAAGATGCATCGACTGAGGCGGTTCATGAGGTTAAACATAGAGATGTCGGGACCGAGATGACTCCGCTTGGGAGTTCGACAACTTCAAGATGTCACACACCGTTCAAGAGCTCATCCCCTGCTCGACACAACACGCCTGCAAATAGGTCAGGCCCGTTGGCCTTAGTGAGCTCCAATAGTGCAAACACCGCCAACATCGACATTTCCCAACTGCAAGATTGCCATTTAGCTAAATTACAAATTGGGACTCAATTTGATTCCATTGTTTCGACTTGGAGCTCAAGGGAAGAGGAGGAAGAGGACATATCAAAGAGCTTGAGGCACTTTGAGATTGGGAATGAGTGCAGGAGAAGTGTTTCGGAGTCAAGACCTTGTACATGGGAAGAAGAGGAAAAGAACAAGTTTTGCCTCCGGTAAAATGCTGTTCGGTTGCTAAATTAACTTGTTTTCTACGTTTTGTTTTGCAACAATTGTAACTGGAAAGAATTACAGGTACCAGAGAGAGGAAGCGAAAATTCAAGCTTGGGTGAACCTCCAAAGTGCTAAAGCAGAAGCTCAGTCAAGAAAGCTTGAGGTACTTTTCTAGTCCTTTTTGCTCTCTGGCTTCCATTAGACACATTGATACTACATTTTCCTCTGTCACAAAAGTAAAAGCATATCACAAGCATGAAAACATAGTTTGATAACTGCATTTGCCTCCAAATGTTCCAATAGCACTAGGTGTGCAATCTCTTTGGAGAGGTTGGTTTTTAGACCAAAACTTAACAAAAGACAAACCAAACCAACCAGTCTAGGGGTAAAAACATACTGAAAATTGGGTTTCGGTCAGTCCAATCAGCCGGTTTGGTTTTTTTGGGTATAATTTTCATCCCTAATTATCATAGTATTATTTTTCATTACAAATCATTGGACAGGTTATGCAATTATATGAAGTTTCAACTTTATATTTGGCATCATCATTGGTGACCCCAATCTTTGGCAACACATGTGGCTCCTTGTGACGTAGGGACAATGTTCTAAGAGCATATGAGAAAAGTTACGAATCATGAAATTTTTTTTATGAAAATGATCATGAAAGAATTATGATCATTGGATTACCTTGATTAGTGTATAGTGCTTCATTCTAAGTGTAATCCAAAGGTCACAAACCTTTCATGATTATTTTCATGAAAGGTTTTTCATGATAGCTAGTATGACTGAAGAGCATATATATATATATATAGAGAGAGAGAGAGAGAGGAGCTGAATTTTTTTGACTATAGACTAAAGTTGGAAGGCTTTGCCAGTCGTTGGCTTCATCCTTCCTCGAGCCACCCGCTGCTCACTAACACCCTTCCCCTTTTATTTTCTTTTGTGGTCCAAACCTAAAAAGAGTGTCTTCCTCCCTCCACCCAATGTAGGGTACATTTTACTAATATGGTTTCACACTTCATGAAGAAGAAGAAAGGCAAGAAAAGTCATCCAAGCACATATATTTTATAGCTTCATACAAGACAAATGTTGTCATTAGCCCATGTGAGCAAAGTTCTAGGGAATTGAGGGTGGGGATCACTCATACTTAAAATTTGAATGTGTAATTCCTAGTGGATTAAACAATGATTACTCAATAAATTAATGCGCTTCACCTTTGAATTTGGTCAACAATCCTTTTTTTTTTCTAAAACACAACTTAAGTTTCTTCAAAATGCTCATTCGAGCCAAATCAAAATATAATATATAGGTGAAGTGTGTATTACTCAATAAATTTACTCACTCAGCCTTTTGTATTTGTCCTTGTCACTGTAATTTTAAAAAAGCCCGCGTAAAACAAAAAGTGGAGTAAAAATAGGACTACCCATTTCATTTTTTTTATGGTTGGACATTGATTTATGTCTTGGGCATTAGTTATCTGAAGTTTTTGTATGATGGGATGATTTTTAGGTGAAAATCCAAAGGATGAAATCGGATTTGGAAGAGAAGTTGATGAAGAGGATGGCAGTTGTTCATAGAAGAGCGGAGGAATGGAGAGCGACGGCCCAAATGCAACATGCGGAGCAAATTCAGAGGGCAATGAAACAAGCGCAGAAGATGGTGAACCGGCAGAATTCACATTTCTCAGGCCACCAGAGTTCTTGCGGTTGCTTCCCTTGTAATAATCATCTTTGAACAATAGAAGAAAGTTCAAAAGCCAATTGGAGAAGAAGACATATCCATGAGAGGAAAGTTATAGAAAAACAATCTGCATTGTGTACCACATGTTCTTATGAAAATATCCAGAGTTCCATTTCCCCAAAGCTCTGTTTTGATTTTAGATTTGTAGAGCAAAAGAAAAGAAAAGACCCAAAAAAAAAACAAAAAAAAGGCTTCTACTTTATTATCATTATTATTTTACACTATAAATTCAAAATCTAAACACAATTTAGAAATCAAAATTAGAGAAATCCTAACCATAAACGTTGGAAGGCCTTGTGGAGTAACATGTTTGAATTCAAGAGTGAAAAGAAAATAAATGATTTATTAAGTTAAGACGGGAAAAAATTTAAAAATTTTGCAGTTTCATTCATTTTGTTTGGTTAAGCTAGAAAGGAAAGGAAAAAAAATAAAAAAAATAGTAATTCCTCTGCCATGTAACATGTTATTTGGATATACCATATAAAATAAAAGAAAATAAACTATTACGAGTTACATTACCAAAAGTAACTTTTTATGATTTTATTTTTTCATTATCTAGATAGACAATTTTAATATTATAAAAAAATTATTGGAATTCTGAAAGAAAAGCCCAAATTTTCTCTAATTTTTTCATATTTAGTAATTCAAATAAATAGTTAGAATCAAGAAAAACCATTTTTTTCTTCTAAATCAGTCAATCCCAAAGCCCTGTAAAAACATTCAGGTCATGTTTGTTTGGGTGGACATGAGATTGGGATTGGACTAATAGTCCAATAAAATTATTAATCTAATATTTGGTTAAACAATTGAAGTACGGATTAATTATTTTAAACTTGACTATTAGTTAAGTTAGGATACATAATCCAACGGATTCGTAGTCTTAGAACTATTAGTCATGGGAATGCTAATCCAGTCCGCCCAAACAAACATGGCGTCAAGGGATAATTGTTCATTTAAAAATTGACTTTTTAGTGGTTTTTTTATTTTTATTTTTTAGGATAAATTACATTTTGTCCTCTTTATGTTTGATTACTTTCTCACTTGGGACTTTAAAGTTTTTTTTTTTTTTTTTTTCACTTTGGGCCTTCATGTTTCAATTTTTTCAGTTTACTCTTTAAGTTAAATTCGGTTAAAAATTAGATAAAAAATGACACATTGATAGTCACGTAACAAAAATATTTTATTATATATAACTCACACTTCTGACACAAATTCAAATCTCAATATAATAATATATTTTCTATGTTATGTGATAATTTTCGTGACATTTTCTGTCTAATTTTGTACAACAATTAGTTTTAGAAGTAAATTGAAAAAAAATTGAAACGCGAAGGGCAAAAGTTAGAAAAAATAAAATTTAAGGGTCAAAGTGAAAAAAATATGGGCAAGGTATAATTTATCTTATTTTTTATAATAAAAAAAAAAAATATATATATATATATATATAAAGTAGAGATAATTTTTTTTAATAATTTTTTTTGGCTAAAACATTATTATCTTCCCAAACGAGGCTTGAATTAAATGTTGGAGGGCTTTGTTTTATTGTTGTGAATACACATTTGGTAATCTACGTACTGTGATCAATGAATAAGGGTAGGGTTGGTTTAGACTTTAAAGTCTCAGCATGACATATAACAACAAATCTGAAGAGAAATTATGAATCGAAAAAAAAAAAGAAAAAAAAAACTGACGAGAAATATCATGGTTTATTTAATATTTCCTAAAATATATTTTTCTTCGTTTATAACATATATAGCTGCAACCTAAATTAGGAATTTGGATTGAGGTTTACAAGATTCAATGAACAAGTGTAAATTTAAAAAGTTTATTAATTTTTTAAACAAAAATTATAAAATTATGTCATTATGATTATCAAATTAATTTAATAATCCACACACAACCTCCTCGGACTCCTTGCTACCCTCATATAGTCTCTATATAAGATTCATTTCTAAAATTGTGTTTTGAATTTATAAAATGATGCGTGGAACAAGACAAAAAAAAATTAATAATTACCATTAGCTTCATTTCTTTTTCCTATATTTTTTTGGTTCGTAAATTTAATATCTACATGCAATCTTAAATTTTTTGGATAAATTAATAACACAGCTCTGAGGTTTATTTAAATTACAAATTATCCTTTGTGGTTCTAAAAATTATATTATGCCCCTTAAGGTTTCTAATTTCATAACAAATAGGTCATTTTATTAATAAATTATCAAGTTAATTAACAGTTTTTAATAATTTTAAAATTTTATTTCAATTAATAATTCAGATAATTTTATTATTGTACAGGTGAACAATTAGAAATTTTAATTTTTTAATTAATTCTGTTAAATAAAAAATTCTAACAATGAGATATTTTTAATTTTTCAAATCACAAGAGACAATACGTATTTTAAGCAAACTTGTAATTTATCCAAAATTTGTCTGTCCATCAATGTTGACACGTTGCCAACAAATAGCAAGAATTTGTTCACACACATTAGTTTAAAATTGTGAATCATACATCTTAAAAAAGTTAGGGGAAAAAAAAAATTGAATGTTTGATCCTTTATAACAAAAATAAATTATGAGATTTTAATTTTGTCAATTTAAATCATAAATTTTTGATTTGTTTTTAATTTAATCCATATTTATTAAATAAAATCAACAAAAAATAGTATTTTAGTCATTAAATTCAACAAATAAAATATTTTAGACATTTTATATATACCTATATTGAATTTAATGATTAAAATATAATTTGTTTTCCTTTAATTTTATTTAACGAAAATAAACAAATGATTTAGATTGAAAACAAATCAAAATACTAAGATTTAAATTAATAAAATTAAAAACTCATGATTTATTTGTTACAAATTTCAAATTCTAAGAAATTTTTTTAAAAAAAATTTCTAAAAAATGTATTGACTCATCTAAACTTGTGGATTCATAAATTTGAACGAGATGTGTATTTTATACTCATAACGTATAAAATGTGTGAAGAAAATTAAACTCGAAAAAATGGGCCTAGAAGAAGGTAAAATTGTACAAGGAAAATGAGTGAGAGCACTAATTAGTGCTACCACTAATGATGTGGCAGTGGGCTCCACCATGAATGATTTGATGTTTTGGTCTTGGTGTTGTATTTTTTTTCTTTTTTTATTGAGTGCCATGTCATTAGTGATCTTTTTAGAGCTCAAAAATTAGTGGTCTCTATCATTGTTGATTGTACAAAGGATGGGCAGAGAAGACAGAACTGAAAGAGTAGAATGTGGTGGGAATGGGTGTTGCATTGCATTGCAAGTGTTGGATGGATAGAGGATCCATGAACCCCTGGTCCCACCTGTGCCTGTCTGCCTCTAGCTGCCCTTCTTTTTCCACTGTTTTATATACACACATACATACATGATCAGTGTACAGTGATCAGAGAGAGAGAGAGAGAGAGAGAGAGAGCAGTGAGTGAGTGGGGACTCTTTACTCTTTTGTGTTAAGGGCATTGAATCTTACTACACTCTGCGTATGTGTGATGTGTCTTTCATATGCTTTATTCACCAGCAGCGGTACTGGTTGATCGACCAGTGCGTATATAATACAGATTGTGTCTGTACAGTTCACTCCACTCCCGACTCCTTTTATCTGTCAATAATATTACGTCCTTTTAATTTATCATTTCTGAATAATTCTTAATGAAGTGATATTAAGATTAGACCACATAATAAATTATTTGACCGACTAAAATTTGACACTTATTAAACACATTATTATTAAAAGTAAATTTTAGAAGTGATAAATTAAATTTCTCAAACATTTTTTTGTATTATAATATATTAGTGTAGATTATGTTCTCTTCTAGGACTTTGGATTTGTTTCAACTCCTCTTCGAGGTTATAGACTTTGGCAACTGTGCTCCCCTCCCCACTCCCATACATAAGCCTATACATACACTTCGGTTTTCTCAGCATGAAATCTCAACAGATTTGTTCTCTCTTAACCTTTTGTTATTTGAATTTATAATTTTTTAAATTTGAGTATAACTAAGTGATTGTACTTCTAAATTTATAGGAGATGGTTTAAAACTCGAATTTGATAACACTTACGTTTTTAATTTATATTTACAAAAAATTTATAAATTAGTTTTTGTTTATTTTTAAAAAAATATAAATTACAAACGCGTTTGGTTTGGACAAAATATTTGAAAATTTTTAAAAATATAAACTAAAAAAGTGAGAAATGGCGAGTGGTGGCGTGGCGGTTGGTGGGTGGTGACGAGTGGTGGCGGATGGTGGCAGCGGAAGATGGTGGTGGCGGGTGGGTGGCGACGGAAGACAGTAGTGGCGGGTGGTGGCGAGTGGTGGTGACGGAAGACGATGATGGCAGGTGGCGGGTGATGGGTAATAGTGGCATGTGGTGGGTGGTGGCGGCAGAAGACAGTGATGGAAGATGGTGGCGGAAGACGATGGTGGAAAGTGGTGGCAGGTGGTAGTGGCGGAAGACAATGGTGGAAAGTGGTAGTAGGTGGTGGCAGCGGAAGATGGTGGTGGAAAGTGGTGATAGATGGTGGCAGGCGGCGGGTGGTGGGTGGTGCTGGCGGAAGACGGTGGTGGAAAGTGGTGGTAGGTGACAGGTGGTGGCGGTGGAAGACCGTGGTGGAACGTGGTGGTGGCGGCGGGTGGCAAGTGGTGGCGGCGGAAGACGGTGGTGGAAAGTGGCGGGTGGTGGCGGCAGCGAAAGACGGTAGTCGAAAGTGGTGGCAAGTGGCAGGTGGTGGCAACGGAAGACGGTGGTGGAAAGCGGTGACGGGTGGGTGGATGGTGGTGGCAGATGGGTGGTGGATGGCGGGTGGTGGCGGGTGGTGATGGGTGGTCGGTGGTGGTGGCGGCGGGCGGTGGATGGTAGTGGCGGGTGGTGGGTGGTGGCGGGTGGATGACAGGTGGGTGGTGGTGGTGGCGAGTGGGTGGCAGGTGGGTGGTAGCTGGTGGTGGCTGGTGGGTGGTTGTGGCTGGTGGTGGCAGGTGGTGGTGGGTGGTGACGGTGGAAGACAGTGGTGGAGGGGGGGGGTGGATGGTGGTGGCGGAAGACGGTGGTGAAAAATGGTGCCAAGTGGTGGCGAGTGGTGGGTGGTCAAAAAAAAAAAACTGAAAACTGAAAACGTAAATTCATTTTTTGAGTTTACAAATTTTGGCCAAATTTATAAACTGAGACCACTGGTTTATAAACCAA